TTCATTGTTTTATCACTGAAAAAATGATTTTCATTCTTTTTCAATGGTCATTTGACAAACCTCTGAATCACTGAACTCTTATTTTTATTATATAATTTCCACGTTGAGATCAATCAGCATCACTGTTCAGCTTCCAGTAGGAACACCAGAGTGTGATTTGCATAGATTACACAGGAGAAATGTCAGAGATTAAAAATAATCCCAGAATAAACATCACAAATCAACACATCAAACGTGGCAAAGGAACAGATGTGAAAACAAAACAGAGTTCCAGTTTTCATTCATAAAAACAGTCTGGTTATGTCTTCCTATAATCTGAGTCCAACCGAGATGAAAAAACAGACGGGATTTTATTTTGAAAGATTTCGTAAAGTCCGTGTTCGATCAGCTTTAGTGTTTAGATGTGGTGAAGGCCCCGTCGATACTACTCCAGATATTAGTTTTTCTTTATCGAAGTATTTCAGCTCAGTATATTTTAACAAAAATGTTGCAACACCTACACCGCACCACTGGGGGCGAGAGCTACCACAGCAACAAGAAATACAAATATAGAGAAAGAACTTGGCTTTAGATTCTCATAAAAATTATTTTATTTGACACGGTTTATATTTTTTATACAAGTTATTAACTTATTAAGGTGCAGGGGGAAAAAAGTAAGAAAAATGTCTGTGTTTTTTCTTTTTAAATAAATATCCAGAGAAGTGTGGGCGGGACTTAAAAGAAAAGCGGCATTAACACACCGTTTGGTAAATTGTGTTTGTCAKTTGAAGTCAGAAAAATCAACAGAAACAATATGACAACTTTTTCAAGTTTTAACTAAAACAGCAACAACGAGAGTTAATTACAGTATCTGCAATTTTTTATTATAAAATCTGGATGAACTGTTAAAAGCTTTGCTTTTCAATAATAATTAACAAAATTCAGTTTGTATTAGTTTTTATTAATACATCCTTTTGCCTCTTTGTGATGGGAGTGCTTATGCATAATGAAGTTAAATAATTAATTCAATAAAACATAAAGGTTTGATTAAATCTCTCAAACAATTCATTASTCATTAATTGTTTTGTTAAATCTTTTAGCACACGGCTAAATGAAATGTTTACAATTTAGGAAAGTGTCAAACTCACAGGCTTGAAACATTCCCTCACAAAACCTTAGTTTTTCTTTAGAAATTTCTTATCTGTACAAATAAAAAGATACAATTTGAAAAAACACAAACTGTAAAAAGTGAAACATGACACTGAAGTGAACAAAAGCAACAACTGAAGTTTGAATAGATGAGCCTCAATGGAAAATTTGGCACTTTGTTGAAAAGAACATTTAACAGAAGAAGTTTCTCCTAACCAGGTGACAGTTTTCATTACAGTGTGAAGATCATGTGACATTTTCCTGTCTGTGGGTGAGTGTGGGTCTTTGGTGYGTACGAGTCACAGTCAACACCGAGTCTGAGCCAGTAAGTCTGATAACGGAACTTCACTTACGATCCATCCACAAAAACTATTTGTTTAAAACAGAAGAAAAAAGAAGAGGAAAAGAGGCGGGACCAGGTGACCCAGACCAGGTGACCCAGACTGGTGAATCGATGGGCAGACAGTTGGGATTTTAGTGATTAATAAGTGAGACGAGAGCAAACATTCAGCGGGACACCAGGGGGACCTGGACTACAAAGCAGGTTTAAAATATCTGGAGTTTCAGTGAGAAATTTACTCCAGGAATCTGAAGATGATTCCAGACCCGATAAATCAACCGAAGTTTCTATGATGCAGGTGCAGCTGCACCACAGAACCTGGAGCTGGCAGGTCCACTAAAGCAGAGATTCTTAACCCATGGGCCGCGGCAGAGCGCCACCTTGAGGGCCTCAGAAGAACAACAGTTTTTAACTTTGGGCCACAGAGGGCC